TCAAGTATGAACCAACTAGTCTGCAAAAAAGTATTGCGTGTTAAGCCCTACAATCAAATAATCAATAAACTGCATAGGGAGCGAATGTCAGTTGAGCCCTCCACAATGGCGCACACGTGTAGCTCTGGCATATGAAGCTCCAATTTGAATTAGAGCCATTTATTGTGGGGAGAAATTTTGAGCACAATTTAATTATGGTATTTTAAGACCTTCCCCTATCCCTTGTGGAAAGGGCGGGGGAAGGACAAGTGTCTTCCTCACGTCAATAACTAAGCCGGTATCTGCTGCATGTGTTACATTTGTAAAATTAACAAGCTAGACATGAACTGGCATTGCTTGAATATGTTCATGAATACATACATTTCTGCTTGCAGCACTGCCTAAGGAACGAAAGCCACCAAAAGAAAGAACTGTGCCTGCACCCTCCAGCAACGAGACCAACAAATCTCCTCCTGGTCTGCGTCAATATCCAGCTGCAGTTAAAACTACCCTAGAGACCCCACAAAACCACGCCGTTCCTGAATCTACACGGCAAGGAACATCGTGTTATGGGCACGACACCATGGAAGTTGACGACGCCGTTGAACTGTCAGCGAACACTAGTGATGCAGATTCAAGAGAAGTTAATGCAGCGGCTGGTGAGACATCAAATTCTACTGCAGAATCAGCAGAACTGAAGAAGAAGCTTGCTGACCTTACAAGAAAGTACTCTGAACTTCAGCAACATCATGACACAGCCAAGAACACCATTAGTGGTCTCAAGAAAAAAGTGCAAAAACTCGAGACTGAGGCAACAAATATTTCGCAAAATATGAAATTTCTCAACGACGATCAAGTACGCGCTCTCTCAAGGAGCAGCAGCTTGGGGAACTCTTGGTCTCCGCACACTGTCAAGCAAGGCCTTCAAATTAAGTTTGCTTGTGGAACAACCGGATATGAAACTTTGAGAAAAATGGGATATCCTCTCCCATCCAAAAGAACGCTCGCACGGAGGATTCAAAATTTGAAGTTTCTCCCAGGCGTTCTTCACGAAGTGATAGACGTTATGAAATGCAAAGCCGAGACCATGGAGGATGTAGAAAAGGACTGCGTCCTTTTTTTGGATGAAATGGAGATAGTGCCGGGGTTTGAGCTAGATCGGGCTGAAGACGCACTTCTCGGAGGAATAACTCTTCCTCCGAAGCCTGAAGAGCCTGCGGTTCATGCTCTGGTATTTATGTTGGGCGGACTTAACCAGCGATGGAAGCAGGTGATTGCATATGAATTTACCGGAAGAAACATCGATGGCGGCTTGCTGAAAAACTATGTGTTGGAACTAGTACAGCTGTGCAGTCAAATATATCTGAGAGTTCACGGAATCACATGTGACATGGGCTCGGCAAACCGCGCAATGTGGAGAGAATTCGCCTTTTCCAGTCACAGAGATTCTTCCACGGTGTGCTCCATACCTCATCCGTGCATGGACGGGAAGGAACTTTTTTTCATTGCTGATCCGGCTCACGTCTTGAAGAACCTCAGAGGCCCGCTCTTGAGCTCAGAAGTTTTCACGTTGAGTGAGGCCACAGTCGCCAAACATGGCCTGCCTTCTTCACAAGTCAACTTGGAATATGTTCAGGCTGTGCTCGAAGAAGATTCTAAAAGAGAACTGAAGGTAGCCCCAAACTTATCCGAAATGCACACCAGCGCAGGCCACTTCACCAAAATGAAGGTTGGTGTCGCTGTACAACTTTTTCGGGAAGCTCCCCCAGCTATCAGATTCCTTATAAAGGAAGGAGTTCTTAAACAGGAAGCAGAAACAACAGCTTGGTTCATGGAGCTGATTTCAAAATGGTATGCACTGATGTCTTCGCGGCATCCAACACTGGCCCTGAGTCGGAGAAGTAGGGCTAAGTACTCCGAAGCCCTAGATACATTACACACAGCAATGGAAACCATCAGAACTATGAAAATGGGTGCCACATCCCATTGGAAACCGTCGCAAGCAGGTGTACTCATATCAACTACAGTTGTACTTCGCCTCCAAGACGTTCTTTTAGGAGACGAAGGCTATGAGTTTTTTCTTACGAGCAGGCTCCTGCAGGACTGCTTAGAGAACCTCTTTTCTGTGGTGCGGCTTATGAAGCCGGTTCCCAATGCCTACGATCTCAAGTGCGCTCTGAGACTGGTGAGCGTAAGCCAATTTTTGCATACACCGAGGACGACCAGCTACGAGCTTGATGACAGGGAGTACCTGGTGGACCTGCTATCCCAGGGGAAGGAAGCCTGCGTCGAGAAGGAAGCTCAAGAAATCGATGATTCAGAGATTTTGTTCATCGAAGGATTGTCGTCCACAGAATGCAGTATTCTCTTTTACCAAGGAGGATTTATTTTGAAGGGAATTTTGACATCTGTGAAGTGCGCAAAATGCAAAGATGCTCTCCTTGGAACTGCCAACGACGAGCATACTTCGCTGACAGCACTGAAAGAGTACGTTTCAGATGGAGGCAACCTCATCTACCCCAGCAAGGGAGTTATGAAAGCCTTGATAGACTATGAGGAGCATTTTGCTGCCATAAACTCTTGGTGCACGGACAAAGTAGTCACGATGAAGTCGCCGCTTCGTTCACTCACCGCATACCTAAACAAGGTGCACCGCCGCAGCTTGTGTGTATGCGCGGAGCACGAGGACAGTATATACCGACTGCTCACAGAGAGGTACGCAAGAATAAGGCTGCGCATTCACCTTCGGCAGGTTCCAGTCGGGAGTTGCAATGGACATGCAAGCAAAACATGTGCCGGCGTCAACCTCTCATGAGAAATGGACACGCCAAGATAAGCTGTATGCTTAAAAGGTTTCGGCTCACGTGGGCACGCTTTTGACTCTTGCATTTTTTATTTTTAAACATTTCATTTCGTACTGCATTTGGTTTGTCTAGTATCTGACTTTGATTTTCACTAGTGGGACAACGCAGCATTAAGGCGCACAAATAAATGGCCTGTTCACTGAAATCGTGGGTGTCGTTTCATAAAGGTACACTGGTAAAGCATGTTACTCTCGGGTATGCTGCCTGCACAGTGCATGAAATGGTGAGGCAGGGGAAGGTGGTACCGAATGTCAGATAATGTGTGTGTGTGTGTGTTATATATACACACACACGCAAGTATATAAAGTACAGCGATTCCTGCCTTTGCTATTCGGCTGATTCACAAAGACCCAAATATTGCATTCCTTTCAGCAAGCGTAGTAATAAAAGTTCATGCGCCCCTCCGTCTTAACGACGACAACGGTTTAACGCGAATCTTTCTGGTGTGGGAGTTCGTGGCTCATTTCATTCAGTCTATGTCAGCCCCTGGCGCATTGTACAAGCACAGGCCACCAGTTTGTATGACGTGCGTTGTTCCATTTAACAATTAGGCAACAACAGCACTAAGAGGTGTCCAAGTTGCACCAAAAAAAAAGCTCGCCAACGAGTACTTCTTTCCTACCATACGCGAGCACCGCAAGCGGTAATGCGCTTCGCATGCTGCCCCACTACGGCAGGAGCCGTTATGGCGGCCGTCGTAGCAGACGACGCGGCTGTCCTCACCCTCAGCGGAGCGCGCGGGCATCAAGGCACCCTAACGGTAGCGTACTTGCAGCGCCCCCCTCCGTAGGCGCGACCCGACGGCAACCGGTGCGAAATGCGACATGCTGCATTTCGCGCCGATGCGTTACCCAGAAAAAACTGAGTCTCCCTCTTTTCGTGACTGAGGGACGCCAGACGCGCTGAAACGCGCATGCGTCAAAGCGATGCAGCGCGGCGTGGGCCTCGCATCACGCCAGCGTGACGCGATGAAATCAACGCCGGTGAGCACGCGCACCGTGTCATGTCGAAATGTATTGGCGCCTTGACTGTGGCATTTAGTCATGTTGTTATATGACACGCATCTCATGATTAGTATGTTTGCACCAGTCATATACCTTCCTCATCCATTGACGTCACGTAATACTAAGTTTGGCTTATGTGAAGCTAGCGAAATGGCCACGAGCGCATCATGAGTGTGGCATGTAGTCATGTTATTACATGACACGCATCTCATGTTTATCATGTTTGCAACAGTATCATACCTTTGTCATCCATCCACGTTCCGTAATACCAAATTTGGTATAAGTGAAGCTAGCGAAATGGCCGCCAGTGCATCATGAGCGTGGCATGTAGTCATGTTGTTACATGACACGCATCTCATGACTATCATGTTTGCACCAGACACATACCTTCGTCATCCATTCAGGTACCGTAATACCAAATTTGATATATGTGACGCTAGCGAAACGGCCGCGAGCGCATCATGAGTGTGGCATGTAGTCATGTTGTTACATGACACGCATGTCATAATTTTCATGTTAGGGTCTGCCGCTTGTGTTCGCCATGCAATCCTGTCATACCATACCAGTTTTTTCAACATGCCATAAGAATGGAACCACCAGAAGAGCTGCAGTGCCATGAAATATAAATCATGACATTCATGACATACATATCATGATTTTCATGTTATTAATTACCAAATATGTTCTTCATACAGTCATGTTATGCCATACCAAGTTTTGTATCGATACCATTATCGAAACGGCCATGACAGCTAAATGTCGCAGGCGTCTAGATAGATAGATAGATAGATAGATAAATAGATAGATAGATAGATAGATAAATAGATAGATAGATAGATAGATAAATAGATAGATAGATAGATAGATAGACAGACAGACAGACAGACAGACAGACAGACAGACAGACAGACAGACAGACAGACAGACAGACAGACAGACAGACAGATAGATAGATAGATAGATAGATAGATAGATAGATAGATAGATAGATAGATAGATAGATAGATAGATAGATAGATAGATAGATAGATAGATAGATAGATAGATAGATAGATAGATAGATAGATAGATAGATAGATAGATAGATAGATACATACGCTCAAATTTGCCAAAGTTCGCTAAGATAGGCTTCGCATTTAAAAGAAACGTTGTATGACTGGCTGAAAGCACATGTACAAGTTTATTATTCGCTGCAGAGGCACGAGAAAACAAATCCATTATTCTGCGATTTCCAACGGAAGCTTGCACACTGAACAACATCTCGTGTAATGTACGTAAGAGCGTCTTCAACAGAGTCGTTGTGCGTAGTGATCAACTCAGTGGAGTGCAGTTAAACATGTCCAATTTCAGTTCACGCAGAAGTGCAATTGAAGAGAATAGACAAATATAAATCACGTACAGTGTATTCCAGGACTATAGAAGACCCAACGAACTGAACTAAGCAGCTACACCGCTTCATTTTATGTGTCCCCAGGGCCTCAACGGACCGGTAATTGGCCACTTCTTGTACTTGTCCGACGCGAAGTACTCCTTCACATTTGGTAGCTTTTCGAATCTCCTCAGGTAGTGGACGAGCGGCGGGTACTTAGCCAGAGCTTCCGGCTTGAACTCGCCATGCCAGTCGAGCCCTTCGTAGAGCACGAAGTCGACGTACGTCAGCCTGTCTCCCAAGGCCCATTCACGGGAGGCCAGATGCCTGGACCACGGGTCTAGCATGTCCTTGATATTTTCGGCGTAAGAACTGAGGCCCTCCCGGTAGCGAGGCTGGGGTCTCGCCGCGTAGCTCAGGATGAGAACCAGGTCTCTGGCCTGCTGCTCCAGAACGTCCAGCTCAACCATCTCTTTGTCGTTGCTATGGTCAGCATAATCCATGCAGAAAAAGAAAGAAGCAAGACACCAAAATGATGTACCTTAAAGTGGTGGATAAAAAAGAAATGTACCTCCTCTTTCTTCCTTCTCCATACGTCACACATGCGATGGTAGAATAACATGGGAGAGTATCAAAAAATGAAATGCACGGAAGTCAATGTAGGTAAGGAAGAGACCAACCTAAAGGTTGATATTTGGGGTTCGCACGATACCAGATCACTACAAAGAGAATTCACGCTCATAACAACCATCCATTCATTTATACGTCTAGAATGAACTGCCACCAACTAGTTTTTGTTTAGCCATAATAAAATGCATACTAATTTCTCAAAACAAAGCTTAGCAGTTCACTAAACCAAATCTTGTATTATCATTGTAGTTAGGTAATCAAAGTGACGTGTGCTAATTAATTTATCTTTCATATACCTAAACATGGCAGATCGGTTTTCCATTAGTAGTATATGAGCAGGTGAAGTCAATTTGTTCCTTACTTTGCGGCCAGTCCATGCTTTCGGCCAAGGTAACGCAGTATGGCCAAACTCTGGGTCAGTCTGACGTCTTCGTCGATGTAGTAGGGCAGGTTGGGAAACCGCAGTCCCAGAGTGTACTTCTCCCTCAGCCATTCGCCGCGGTCGTAGTCGGGCGCTGGTCCGAACTTGTACCGCTTGTCTTCAAACTGGACGCCCTTGTAGACGAGCAGGTTTCGGATAGGTTGACCCAAGCCTCGCACGTCCCAGTAGCCGAAAACAGGCGCCATTATTTGTGCGTTTATCTTCAATGAACTGAAATGGAAATGTTATCAAGGTTAAAAACATTTAACTGACACACACACACACACACACACACACACACACACACACACACACACACACACACACACACACACACGCACACACACACACACACACACACACACACACACACACGCACACGCACACGCACACACGCACACGCACACACACACACACACACACACACACACACACAGGGTGTATTGAGGCTGATGATCATGATGAATTATGTTATTAGTGGCAATGAAAGGAAGTGAACAAAAAAGAAACCTTGCTACTGGCGAGGGCCACACACGTAAAATGATTTGAGAGATTGCTAAAACGACCACAGTTACACAAACATGTGTATAAATAATAATAAAGAAATCAACTGATAGGAAGCAGCTGCCGCCGTAGCATGGATAGTTCTAAGGGTTTTTTGTTGTAATGGTTTGTTGTTGATTTTTGGTGCTATAGTTGCCGCAGTAAATGCTATAACGAAAATAAAAAAATAAAACTGACAATGTGGTTCTGTAAAGAGAGACACGTGTTGACAATATTAACGTACGTATTGAAAGCGTAACACATTGTCTATTACTATTTTTACAATGTATTAAGCACGATGAAAACGTCGGCGAATGCGAGATTGCTAATACTGCTTTGGTAAAAAGTCGAAATCACATGAAGAAGCTCACGAATTTATAGTGTATAAAATGGTTCTTTTTTAAATATTTCTCTAATAGCCTCGCTGCAATGACAGTTAATTAATCTTCATCAAATCACATGCATTATACATTAAGGTGAAGTATGTAATAGTCATCTAGCTGCCTTGCAGAAAAATGAAGGGAGCGTTCATATGGACTCCCAGGTGTATAAAAGCGTGAAATGCCGCGAGTGCGGCAAAACAGCATGCTTGATTTCTAATAATATGATAACTTTGGAGATTTGACGTTCCAAAACCACCGTATGATTATGAGAGACGCCGTTGAGAAGGACTGCGGAGGATTCGGCCACCTGACGTTCTTCTTTGGGCCAGCTGACACGGGCGTCACGCATTGGCGCGTCTCCATCGAAAAAGTGGCCGCCGGAGTAAGGATTCGATCCCGCCAGCTACGGTTCTACAGTCGAGCACCTAGGTCACCATGGATTGATTTATTGATATGTGGGGTTTAACGTCCCAAAACCACCACATGATTATGAGAGACGCCGTAGTGGAGGGCTCCGGAAATTTCGACCACCTGAGGTTCTTTAACGCGCGCCTAAATCTGAGCACACGGGCCTACAACATTTTCGCCTACATCAGAAATGCAGCCGCCGCAGCCGGGATTTGAACCGTCGACCTGCAGGTCAGCAGCCTAGTACCTTAGCCACTAGACCACCGCGGCGGGGCGGCCACCGTAAAGAGTGTATGCGTGATTTCTATTATCTCCGTCACGTCGATTATGCGTAACGAATGCCTAGCCTGATGCTGAAGGCTTTGCCTACAGTATTTAGACGAAAATCTTAGATGCCTTATCAAACACGGACATTGACTACCGGCGGCGTCCAGCGGCATTGGCGTCAACGCGAATGATGCAAACGTCATCGCTTGATTACGTCACTATACGACGTCACATAATGCCGAAATTTGTGCAGTCATTACGGCGGGACATAAGGTGACTTCATCGCACGCACTTGTCGCTGGGTGAAAGGTGAGCGTATCACGACGGCTGGGCAAAGTAAGTTGTTGTTCAGAAAGCTTTCAAAGGGATTGTCTTGGGATGATCAATACTGTCAATTGAGAATAAAAAGAAGATCGATTTCTCATCCGACTCAGCTTAGGCGAATGCACGAGGGTTATTGAGTGTTAACTGCGACCACAAGGGATGATTCCAGAGGACGGAAATGGCAAAGGGCACTGGTTACCAGCACCTTCTAAGAACACACATTTTCGTCACGGTGTGCTTGTGGGTATAGCTTATGATAAGTTGAGGGGACGGTTAAGCTAATAGTGGTGTGCAGTCACCTATACAAGTGGGTTTGGCTGACGCAAGGCAATCGTAAACTGGCGTGACCTAAGAGAACACAGTATTTCTGCATAGAAGGAGTGCGGTAACGCTTATTAATACACAGACTAAGACACATTTGTATTGGCGAGAGGTTTAGCATCCTATCAATACGAATACGTTATAACTTTCGCTTACCTACAGAGATGGGAAGAAGTTTTTTTCTTTGCGGGCACTGTATGTGCCCGCTGGCCCGAAGAACAACCTCGCTGCGCTGAAAGGCCAAGATTAAGCTAGAAGCCTACTGCTACAACGTTCGCTCGTCCTGCAGCCGCAATGATTTATGGGATGCTGCTCTTTTGTTGTCGTCGGGAGCTAACAAGAAACACACAGAAAAGCGTGTCGGAGCAAAAAATTTCCGTGCCGCGCAATCTCGGAGAGCTGACGAATGCGCAGGTCAGCGCTCTAGTATCGCAGCGATGTCAGTGCCCAACGATGACCCGTAGTTAAGATGCCCTTATTCTTGTATCTCGCTTTGTCAGGACTCCGAGAGAACGCTCATGAAGTTTTCCGTGTAAAGTGAAGTGGCACAAGTGGTCGTCTGATATGGTAAATGTTAAGTCACGTGCTCTGGTTTTAACTTGACACTGCGTTTTCACGCTAAATTGGCTTATAGGCTGCATGATTCCTTTGTTAGAACTATATCGCAATAATTTTACCAATGAGAGATGCATTGTCTTGAGACAAACTAAGTAACTAATTAAAGCAAGTAGTTCAGTAAAGTAAGTGAAACAGTATAGGTAAGTAATACGTAAATAAGTGAGAAGTAAATAAACTTGAGAGTTGCGTGAACGCATCCGACTTTCACCGTCATTTCGACTGCAGTGCAACCGAACTGCATTGGCGAGACTTACTCCCGCTGCGAAACGCGCTTCCGTCTATAGTTACCACAGTTCGAATGAGAACCTAGCTAACGTTCTTGCATTGTCCTCTTGCGCTTATGCTGGTTGCGCTATAGCTGAACAAGACGCTCAGTGATTTCTGATAGGTATTATTTGTCTTTGACTTTGGCATGAACGTTATTTTCAATTTCGGGCTGCCATATCGAGCACCATGATCAGCAAGCCAACAAGCCTGATCTCACTCCGTGGTCTTTGATGTAAATGTGATTATTTGTTATATAAACGCAATAAGCGAAGAGATACGAGTGGCGCCCTCTGTTTCGTGTCATAGTCTAGTTGAACGAAATATGAAATCTTGAAAACTGTGACCACGGCTTCCCCGACCGGTCACGAAATCTCTTTTCAATGTCTTCCGGGTCACATATGGTGTGATCAGAAATGGAACTGCAGGTGAATTAGCCAATGCAGTGCCCATTTATATCAACTTGACTTCACGCAGTGCCCGTTCCCAATGCTGAAAAAGTAACATGTTTTTTGGTAACTGAGCCACAGACGGTGCAAGGACGCTTAGTTTGATGAATATACAAAGGCTTCACTCTTATATGAAACATATCCATTGCTTCCATTATTATTCACCCAAGGCATCGATCAACCATTTGACTAATTCCTGCGCCGTCTACGATTAGGTGTTGCAAAACCATAGACTGACTTATTGTGCCACATCAAAGGGACATTCCCGTGCTGCTACCACTGTTATGGTCCTGATGGGTCAGTTGCTCATATTATTATAGAAATACGGTGAACAACGTGCTAAATTGAGTGATAGATCGAACCGCCTCGACAACTTAATTGACAACTTGAAACAATTTAAATGACAACTCGACAACTTAAAATTGGCCAAGTGCTTCTGAAAATTTTTTATTTTATTATTATTTTTGATTTTTCTCATATCTGTATGTATATTGAAAATATTACTACCATTATGTTAGGATGGCAGGCTCGAACGTAGCGTATGCGTTCCCATATATTTCATATATAAATAAATAAAGAAATCGATCCAAAGTGCGTAACCTAAGTCAGTAACGATCTGGTGGAAATCAGGTTCGGTGCAACATTGAACCGAACTTCACTGGCTTCTGAATTCGCATGGCCTTCTCACGACAGATTGTCCGTGTACTTCTCATGAAATATTTCTTGTACTGCAGCCTCGTCAACGAATCATCATATATTGTATCAACAGAAAGTTTCTATTCATGATACTCTTTTTACGTTGTGCTGAGAAGAGGTCAGGAAGGTACACTTGAAACTTATCTATGTCCGGCATGTGGAGGCTTGCGGCAGGAACTGCATTGTTCGGAGACGACAAACAACTTGTACCACGTGGTATGAAGATACCAAAATAATCCAAGCGTTCTGCCTAGTAAGGCGAGATTCTTAGATGCCTCATAAGACAAGAAAGGTGACACCTGGCGTTGCCGCAAATTCTTTTAAAAGTATAAAACAAAGCAATAAAGCAACAACCAATGCCTCCGTCGGCTCTCTACGTCAGACAAGACGCCTAGAACGTTTACTAATACACTAGAAAGTTAGATAAGATGTGATTGAGGAGAAGCAAGAAGGTGATTAAAACGTACTCTGACGTAATAAAATGATTAAGAGTAATTAGGTTGAATGTAAATTGACACCGAAATGTACACACGTTAAAGGAGTGCAGACGTAATGGTTTTCATTGTTAAGGTGCCTTAGCATGTGGAAGGAACCGCACAAATGATTACAAAGAAAATGGTAAAGAACGAAAGCCCAGAAGGTCTGCAGGAGGTACTGATGTCGTCACTGAGCACCGAAGACAAGCTTCGGTTGCTCGATGGCCTATGGTTTCATAATAACGAAATTAAGGGACAAATTAGCAAGTTTGGACAGACGATCCCTCAAATTAAAGAAATTACTCGGACCATGGCCTGAGATGCATCTTCAGAAAAGGGCGCACATCTTCCTGACAGACTTCTTAGTGGAGATAGGACTAGATAAGCACCTGTGATAGACAGCCAGGGATTGATATATGTGAAATGTGTTAGTGCATATATTGACAGTATAAAAGGGAGGTGTGCCTGTTAACAGTTTATGACAGTGTGAACTGCTGCAAGCAAACTGTGTATCGGCATGATATTTGAACTGGTTTCAATGTGCTATTATGTTTTTTTATTGTTCATTTCCGGGAACCGTTCAGCATTATTCTTTTTTTTTCCGCTGCAGAACTTAGTAATATGGAGTAGTCGAGCCAATATGGACCTCAACTTCTCCACAGCAAAACAGAACAGAACAGAAGAGAACAAAACACAAGAGATAAATCTGGCACTGTTGTCTGTGGAAGCTGCTAAGCGTGATGCTTCAACCAGCATCGAAAATAAACGTAGTAAAAGTGCTTGCCTAATAGTTTTTTTTATTCGTTTGGCTCCGTGTGGTGTGCAGCTGCTTTGTTGCATGACAAAGTTCAGCAAAATTTCGGCCATTACACCTCACCACCTTAAGTTATTTAAGGCCTTCAATTTAAATCAGCTCCTGAAGTTCACAAGCACCAATTTTTTTTATCCAAAACGAAAGCCAAAAGACAACGATAAGCAAAATCACAAGCGCGTTTGAAGCTGCGAGCATGAAGGCTATCTTGATCTATCTACCACCCGTCAGTTCGGTGGTGGCTGAACGATCTCAGCGCCACAGTTCCTCTAATAGTAAGTATCTTCCGAAACTCTGTAGGGGACATAGTTCAAGCGTCGACTGTAGCAAGCTATGATTACTAAGACTGAGATGGTCATGCAACTAAGAAAAAAAAAACACGCATCTTGACACAGAGTAACGTTTTATTGCTGTCCCCTCGGTTCGATCTTTGTTGTGTTTTCTGTTATTTTCACTTCCTGTTGCCCCACGGCCGCATTGGCCCCAGAATGGGCCACCTGTTGTACTTTTCCGAAGCGAAGAACTCTTTGATGTTGGGCAGCTCCTCGAATCTCTGCAGGTATTGCGCTATGTTCGGGTATCTGTCCATGGCCTCCGGCTTGAATTCCCGGTGCCAGTCGAACCCTTCATACAGCATGAAGTCGACGTAGGTCAGCCTGTCGCCCAAAGCCCACTTTCGGTCGCTCATGTGCTTCTCCCAAGGTTCGAGCACGAAGTCCATGTTCTCGGCGTACCACTCGAGGCCTCCTTTGCAGCCCGGCACGTTGGCCGCCTGGTAGGGTATCGTGAGAAACATGTCCCGGGCCTGCTGCTCGAGTACGTCCAGCTCCGTGGTCTCCTGGTCATTGCTGCGCAGTGGACACATACAGCGATTAAGGAGTCGCGCGTCATTCGTCACGACACCTTTTATATTTAGTGACACGATCGACACTATTGTTCCCCTTTCAAGCACTTCTGGTCAGGAACTTACTTCTGGTTTTCCGAATATTGAAAATAATGCGCTCTAAAAATAAGCCGGTTCAAAATCGATGATTCTCATTCATATGCAATTTTATTCTTAATATATATGAGACGCGAGCATAAGTTCACATAGGTAAGGGACAAATCAATGTCATAATGAATAATTAAAATACATTGAATGAGGACATTGAAGGAACAGATGGTTTTCTTGTGAGCAGCTGCGCTGTCGTTGCATCAGCTGGTGGAGTAGACCTCAACAATGCGTTTACCTTTGTATGGCTTCTGAGATGCAGTTCGCAGCACGGGATCGGCAAAGTTAAACTAGGGAATATACGAGATAGCACGAAGAATCATGGTCACCTTCTATTTGTGAGAGAAGTTCTTAAAAACGTCGGGCGTCTGTGAAAAAAAAAAGAAAGAAAGAAGAAGAAACTCGGTGGCTTTGCTTTTGAACAGCCACGTTACAACTCACACAACTTGGTTTATCCGCGCATGTGCCGAGGAGAGACTGCCGCCAATTCTAGCCTATAGAAGCAGACAGTCTACGCAAACTTCTTTCAATAAATCTAACTTTATCTTTGTGCCGTGCAGACAATACGCTTGCTTGGCCAGTCTTAATAGCAGTTGTCACGGCATCAGCAACAAGAGCATCACTCGCTATTACACCTACTTTGGAGTTATGAGCCTTCGCAAGTTTGTAGGTTCGCGATATTTCATTGATATTGATACAAGACACGATGAAAATCAAGAAATGGTCCATCAAAGCGACGAGGACGACGACTGGAAAAACACTCGTGTTGTTGTTGCCGCTCTGCCATCTTGGCTGAAGAACTTTGTGTACTCCGTGTACAATCTGTAAATATACCCCTTTCTGTATTTCGTGCGTCTCTCATAATCGTATAGTGGTTTCGGGACGTTAAACCCTACAAATCAATCGATCAACCTTTCTGTCTTTCGTTTATACTCTCACTTCGTGGTAATATGAACGAACATTTTAAGTACTAAAGTATACACCCGCTTAGAAGGAAATAATATAGTGCCCCATGCTCCTTCTTTCTACGTGTGATCACATATTTTTGTTTCGACGGGAAGGATTTCGTTTCGACGGACCCGTATTTCAATTTCAATATTCGAACGCCATGGCGTTCCATGTTTGCCTTCGCTTGTCTCGAAAGTTGACGTAAGGAGTTCTGAATGCGGATCATTTTATAGTCGCACCTTTATAGACACTACCACAGCGCATGCTCGCGTATCGGGCCACATGCTCTTGTCTCGTGCCAACAGAGTCTGTCGAAAGTCGGTTAGAAGGTACACTGTTGTAAGAATTGTAGGAAGGTCAGAAAACAGTAGTGATGCTGCACTGCAGCTTTCTCAGCAGCTCTTTTGTGTGTGTGTGTGTGTGTGTGCATGTCATGATAAAGCTTTACTATGTCTGCTCGATATCCACCAACTCTTTATAGCTAATAAACAAACATTAAGCGTTTTTCTTGCAGGACATAACATGTAATTGGTGATGGCAGTGCCTATTTACACTGCATACGTGCACGGAGCCTTACGCCTCATGCCGTGCACTGAGTCAGCCGGCACTTTGACCGGCAACATCAGCAATGTAATAGGTGCTCATTGGAGTATTATGTTTCACCGTAAACCAGATTGTGAATTACGTCCTAGGGGAAGGATTGCCTGAGTCGAGCACACTTTTATGCCATTATTTCCTACCAAAATTATGCCCAAACGCAAGAAAACACTCGATCAATGGCTTCATAGAGACGTATACGGATGAACTGCTAGAACGGAAAATTCGCTTAAGCATTCTTTGGTGTTCTCCCGTTTGTCGAGTAAATAGAGATAACATCTTGAAACAACACTCCTGTATCTGACTTCGTTCTCATGCAAGGACTATATATGGGTGTCACATTGGCATTAGGTCACTACACTTTTTCCCTGCTATCATAAACTCTTCTTCTTCTTCTCTTTCATTGTTTTACACACTTTTTCCCCTTCTCAAGCACAGGACAGCAAGCCTGAGTCCTCTTAATTTATTTCTAACCTCACTGTCTTTCTTTATTGTTCCCTCTCTCTCTCTCTCAGATTTTTGTCTCCCGAAAGACGATGAAGGTTTAAAGAGAGGAATGTGTTTGAACACAGGATGTCGACAGAGCCAACAATTTGACGGGCGGTGTTGTCTTATTCAAGGTAGCAACTCGTCATATTCAAGCTGCTGCTTAAAAAAAAAAAAAAAAGGTAAGTCCACTTGTTAAAGCTTTGGCTCCAGCTGCATCCTGTCGTCGAGAGTAACCATAGGCGGGAGCACCGCGGCATAAGCTCAACATGCATTCGCGACCCTTACATATGCTGCTGGTCCGGCAATGGGATAGCACCGGAGAAACAGACAGTTCACCCGGAGCATCGCCTGTCAGGCTTGACAGGCGATGTAAACCTATTCCTATGACAGGCTGTAAACCTATTCCAACACTCTTTGCAGTTGCCCGCGATTCCTAAAACCAACGTCCAGTCTTTAAGTTAACTTGTTGAATCCACAAATACTTGTTCGGGCCTTTCACTTCGTTTGCCATCCGCTGGCGTTTTGGTTAATCACAAGGCTGTCCCCATAATTGGCTGGAATCAGTTCTATGTTCAGGAATAGTACTAGCGTAATAACAATTTATGAAGGCGTCGCCCTTCATAGATCGGCCGCTCACCTGCCCGCCAGGTCATGCTTCCTTCCCAGGTAGCGAAGGATGGCGACGCTCTGTGTGATCTTGACGTCGTCGTCCACGTAGTACGGAATGTTTGGGAAGGGAAAGCCCAGGGTGAACTTCTCCCGCAGCCACGACTCGCGGTTGTAGTCCGGCGGAGGCCCGTGCGGGTAGCGCTTGTCTTCGAACTCCACGCCCTTGTAAATGAGCAGGTTGCGCAAGGGCTGACCCAGAGAGCGAATGTTCCAGTAGGCGAGCAATGGCTTCGCGTTTTCCATCTGGACTTGGAATAAAAATAAAGTTAATGTGGTTACACTCAGCGTGGAAACTGTAGTAAATGCGGAGCAGCGAGTTTTTCTGCCCTTCATCAACGCAGGCTTTCACGCGTGCAAGTCATCGCTAGCGCTTTAAACGCGATGCCTGCTTGTCGTCCGTGGCGGGAATTTCTCTCTTCATCGCCCTCCCAGCTGTTTTTCGCCTCCTTGCAAAACTACGTTATACACGGCGATATCATGCTATTACCCCCTCCTGCTTTCCCTTTTCACCCTCGCTTCCACTACGCACCCCATGCTATGCTATAAAATGTACGGCTAAGCTATGCTTCACCTTCCCCATCTCATTTCCCTCTTCAACCTTCCATCACTCCTTCTCACCCTCGGTTTATTTTCGGACCCCTTGTTATATTACTCTCCACGTGATGTTTTGCAAACTTATACACGACCCCATCTTGTGAAAGAACGGTGCTCTTGTAAAACGAAGACGAGAGGAGAAGAAAACAGGCAGGACAAGATGTACGATCACCAAGTCACCCGAACGAGCACCCTTCAACGTGACCGCACCATGTTCCACTCCTCCTGACTCTTACTACCCGTTACTGCTCCCTTGCTATGCTATACTACACATGAATATGCTATACGTGGCTATGCCTGCGTGACGCCGTACATGGCTATTATGTCTCACTCTCTTATCTCCTCCTATCCTTTCTCCTCACCGTTATATCGCCTCCTCACCCCCCCTTTCTCGTGCCCTTCACACTATAAAATATAGCCATGTTATATATACATGATTTCACCAGTGTGGCAGGTGGCATAATACATGTTTAGATGCTGACAGTGCGGGCCCCTCGACGGCTCTGAACTTGAAAGAGAAACGCTGTTAAGTGTGACGAAGAGGCTGCACGCGACGGTGCAGGCAAAAAAAGCCCCGGTGATTCTCATGCAGGTGTTTTTCTCACAGGACAAAAGAGCAGCGCACTATTTTGGGTATTCAGCGTCTTTGAGGCTGTCGGTTCGTGCTGTGACACAGTCGCCTATTTTGTGCTGCATGACTCAAACATCTAAAACCGATTTCAGACATGAAAGTGGACTCGTGTATACTGTGATATCACACGGAACATTATATGGGTTAATATCAGGGGTCTCGAGAGCTATATCTACTACTAACTACTACTACTACTACTACTACTACTACTACTACTACTACTACTACTACTACTACTACTAAAAAGCGCCAACTATTTCGAAAAGATTATTTCTATTTCTGTGGTGCTGTGGAGTGAACGGATTTAGAAATTGGCCACACCCACTGCACTGAACGGTGAAGTAGCGCCCTTGGAACGGTTACAAAGGAGACAAGAATGAAACGACACTCGTATCAAGTTTCGTGTCTTTCTTGTTTCCTTAGTATCCGACCAAAGGGCGCTACTTCACCATGAGGTGTAATGATCAGTCACCAACAAGCCCAGCTCTCAACCTCATTGAAGGCCATATACGCACGTTTTGTGGAAGCCGTCGGAGACCGCTGAGAACGCCCTATAGAGACAGCGGGGCAACGTCCACCGCTTTATTAACCATCGCCTGTCGAAGGCATTCCGTTCCGTCCACAGGTCGCGCAGATACGCTCATCGCGTGGTGTAGATACACGTGTTGTCGCTTTACAGGCTGTGGTGTGGGAGCTGCTCCTCCTTCTCCTCGCGGCAGAAGCGACGTGAATGGACGATAACGGTATACTGTTCCAAATTTCCTCAGTAATAAGGAGACTCAGCGAAACGGCCTGATCAGCAAGATTTCAGTACTGTCAAGTTCTGCCGCGCTTTTGTACACGTGACACCAGCCTATCTACGCGTGTCGCCTCGAAGCTAACGCCCAAGTGCTTATCTTGCCGCAAAATGCTCAGGCAGCTGTAAGCAAAGGAATACAACAAAAAATGGCATCGTAAACATATAACAGTAGTTATTCACTCTGTAATCAAAGAAAAAAAATAAATTTGGGATCAGCAATTTTTGTGGCCGTAAACACAGTTATATTGATATTTGCAACAGCAGGTGATCTCGCCATCTCCCCCCCCCCCCCCCCAAAATAATTTTCTGCGAAAATTATCGCCTTCTGCGGCGCATACCTGCCCAGTTCTTCACGGAAGATTCCTGAGTTTTGCCACGCTTTATCAGACCCATTGTTGAAATTTAGCCGTTAGTGGTGCTTTATTACTCAGCTTGTTGTTGCCTTCCGTAGCTTCAGTGTACAATAATACATCGGGACCACCTTGTTCACTGTCACCCACTTCGTGAATCAAAGGATGAGTGAAGATTATAAGAAGTTCTGGGATGTGTCATAGTGATGGCGCATACGCACTTTTTCCTGGTCCAGTGCTTTGGTACTAATGAGCAACTTCACTTTTATATATGTTCAGCTATGACGGAAATTTGAGTGTCAAAGATGAAAGTGACTCTATTAAATGGGTTGTAAATAACAATCCACCGCTGCCTGCCTGCCTGCCTGCCTGCCTGCCTTCCTGCCTGCCTGCCTGCCTGCCTGCCTGCCTGCCTGCCTGCCTGCCTGTCTGTCTGTCTGTCTGTCTGTCTGTTCAGAAGAATGAGCCACTCGGCCAAAGTTAAATCACTTCTTCAATGCCTAGCCATCTTGATCTGGTGGTTGCATTCATAGTGTTGAGAATATTGCTCTTCGAAAAGCAAATATAACGCATATCTGAGGTGTAATGCCTAAACGTAAGTATTGGGTGGTTTGTTTCTTAGTATAAAATGCAAAAATACGCAATTCAAAATAACCTAGTGTTTTTTTATGCGGCGCTGACAATGCGAAGCTATGCACATAAAAGCGGGTGTTTTTTAGGTATCGCTAAGACAATACGGTCCTGCCACCTACCAGTGTCTCTGCGTTCTACGTAAGCGTCTATTCCTTGAGATTAAGACCAGATGGCGTTCACATCTCACACAGCGCCTCCTGACAGAAGACTATCGTCTTCCGATGACATTTGCAGCAAAGCTCGCAGATGCGCTGCCATTTTTTAACGCTATGCTGTGAAATAGGACCGCCTGTTCTCCCCAACAGAACAGTTAAAATTTGGACTTAGTGAATACTGACGACGAAAAATAGCGCTGAATGAACGGGGACACCTGAGCAGGACATACAACGCAAGCGCTTTCACATTCGTTTACGTATGCCACCCGAGCAAAAGCATCACGTGGCATGTTATGCACAGAAAAAATAACTTCTTGAGAGTTCCTCAATACATAGTATAGGCGACGGTGTGATGGTGCACGCGGAACCTAGGGATAAGATACCCTCAGCATCAACAATCTCTCTTGTAAGCTTTGAATGTACTCTCTCGATCACTGTACATACGTTGAAGAGCGGTTCTCTTCAAAGCTACCTATAACGAGCAGTTGAATTTGGACAATGAAGACGTACGTTACCACCGCGAACGGCATTCCAAGCAGCAATCTGAGTAATATATTCAAAAACAAGGCTGATGCTATAGAGTCAAAGCTCACAAAATGCTCCCGGCAGCCAACAAGAATGCACAGCAGCGTATGAAAATTTTGAGGCGCTGTTTACATCAATACTACATTTTTTTTTTTGCGTATAAGACGCGCCCTGCATGCAACACCACTTCCGCAACTAGAAACTAAGGGGGGGGGGGAGGAAATATAAAGATCTATTTCCATAGAAGCCATCTTGCACAACGAAATTTCTATCACAAGTAATATTTCAGTAAAAGTTATTTATCCAATTATCCGATATATCGAACTAATTTTTGTTCTTTGTGAGTTTATTATATGCTGGTTTTTACTGCATTTTTAATTGATGCTTGTCGTGTTCCTGCGTGGAGGGAGCCGCATCGCGAGAGAAAGAAAGAGTATCAATTTTATTTTCTCTGGACGTGCAGTCTTGCTGAGCGCCCGTAAATGTGTGCTCAGTCCAAGACTTCCGATTCCTTGGGCGTTCGCTTCTCGCGCGTTCAGCCGGAAGGCCTTGAAAAGCGCACCTCCCGCCACTCTGACGTGCTGTTGTGCACGATGGGTACCACCCTGGCATTTCAATGTTGCATGGTATGCTGTGGGCTTGTGACCTCAAGGGAAGTCAATGGGAGTAGGCGTCGCAGGATTTGACTGGTTTGCAATTAAATTGATATAAACTTACATGATATATCATGTGTTTGCGTAAGGTGACTGGAAGGCGAAAGCGTAGTAACCTGCTGTGACCAGTAGCAGCATAAGCGACATGATAGTGGTGGAACAACGTTTATTAATAAGGAGGGGATTCTTTAATTATTTAAAAGACTTAATGAAGAAAAAATGGCAGCATACCCACGGAGTGAATGATGAAGAGTGGGGCGAAGCATTCGTCCGTCCATTCGTTCTTGCTTCTGTCCGTTCATGCGTCCGTCTGTGTGACCATCCATGCGTCCATCCGCCCGTCCGTGCGTCCGTTTGTCCATGCGTTCGTCCCTGCGTTCGTCCATGCATCCGCCCCTGCGTCCGTTCATGCGTCCATCCATGCATCTGTCTGTGTGTCCGTTCGTCCATCTATTTAACACTCCAAGTACCACCATCTCGCATCTTTTCATCCTATATTCCCCATATAGAAGCACCGCCTTCCAGCGGACATTCCAAGGACTAAACGAGAGGTGGCACATGCACACTTTCTTACGGCTTGCGCTTCGGGTCTACTTCCCACCTTAAATTACTTCAAGTTCATGGTAAATACTAGTTCACTGTATTCATGGCACTGCGGCCCAACGCTCGCTAAACCTTTCTAAAACCAAGGAGGTTACGCCCAGCGAGTATAACGTATCAACCGTTTCCTGTCAGATAGGGCTCAATGTATATGCCAATGGCTGCTAATGGGAAATGATAGGAGAATTCGGCTTTTACTTTCTTACGGCTTGATCTTCATATCCACTTCCCACCTTTAATCACCTCGAGTTCATTCATGGTATACACTAGTTCATTGTATTCATGGCACTGCGGCTCAACGCTCGCTAAACATGTCTAAAACTTAGGAGGTTACACCCAGCGAGTATAACGTAGCAACCCTTTCTTGTCAGATAGTGCTCAATGTTCATGCCAATGGCTGCTAATGGGGATCGAAGCGTGCGCGTTAACTAAAAGCCGAATGCTCCTATCTGTCATTCCCCCTTAGCAGCCATTGGCATGTACATTGAGCACTATCTTTTATTGTTCAACAACGCACAGAAGAAATCTCTCACCGGCACCACCTTGGAGGTCAAAATATTATACTAGTTGCACACTACAACGGCTACGAGGGACGAACAGGTGCCGTTATAAGGAGCTTCGCCCCTAAAGATACTGGACCCTGGAGCTGTCTTTAGCTAATTGGGACACTCCAGCAGTGGTTCACAAGGAAAGGAACAACAAGGGATGATAAGAGCCAGAGAGAAAAGTAAGGATTGGGAGATGTTAAGAAGAGATCGCGGGTAAAGCCCCAATCGGCGAGTGGTCGTCGAAAAGAGGACAACGCAGACGGGACAGCCATCAGCCGTGAAATCCACCGAGTGTCTTCTTGTTGATAGCGCTGCCGCCTTATACTGCAGAGGTGAAATGGTTCGTACAAATGAAACTTACACTGTGTATCTCGGATAGCAACAGGGGCAAGGAAAAAGGCTGCAAGAACGTGCACGCGCACAGCTGGCTTAGCTGGACCGCAGCAGAAACAACAACAAAAACGAAAACATAACAGAAAGCCAGCTACTCTTTCTTCAAAATAAAAAATAAAAATCGATACGAGTTTTTAAGACGCGTGTACAAAAGATGCGTACAATATGGTTGAACCAATAGAACCATAGCAGTCGACGAACTGATCCTCTCCAGACACCCTCAGAAAGCTTTGTGCACTTAACAAAATTTTGCACTGCCACCGCAATCGGCACACCTCTGACTGCATGATGTCATGTTATGTGGCGTCATACTCACGTCTAAATTTTGATAGTTTGCCAATATGACGTCATGGTAACTTCATATGGCGTGATAACTTTTTTGCGTCACTCGTGTTGACCACGATGGTCAATCCTCCCCCAACGCATGGTTATTGCGGCTGGAGCCCGGGGCTAAACTGCTGTAAGGTGTGGTATGATTCAGTGGTAAAAGGTTTTGCTCTCGTTGCGCAAAAAGGGGCAGGGCCGTGCGAAACCAGCAAAACTGTTTCCGTAGTTTAGAACGACAGAATGTTTAGATGGTCCATATTCATGATGAGAGAAGGTAGGCGAGCAGACGCGGATATAGGTGGAAACATAACGCGTGGTTTGTGTTGTCCCTGATATCTTCTTTTGTGTCCGTGTCTCCGCCTTCCATCATCATGTTCTCGCAATGTCGCTTCCCATAATTTATGTTGCACCATGTTAATCGTCATCACAAAGTCGTCAATATTGTCGTGCCGTCGTCGTGAGGCTGTTCAGTCAAACTCTTCAGTAGCCTGGCTATTGAAAATTTTTTCCCACAACATTTACCGAGGTTTGAACGTACCGTGCAGGGCAGTGCGAAACCACGTATTTAAATGTATCATGGTTAATTGCGTACCTTACCCTACATCTTCGGAAGTACTTAATAACTTAGCACGCATCACCATTCTGTCTCAGCAACAGGCGCTCGGCAACCCTAGCCGTGTTTTCTACGAAGCATGAAGTATGAAAGTGCTGGCGTCTGCGTACGTACTTAGGAGGCCATGTCAGGCAACCCTGATGCGACACCTTAGCTGCTAAGCTGTCCTACAAGAATACACCTTCCTGTTGCGTGAAGACGGGTGTAAAAGGAGCATGATAGCACGCGCAGCCGATCGCGCAGCCCGCTATAGCAAGAAGAAGCCTTGAGTACACTGTCCCTGGTTCGGTTTCTCATCCGGGCTTTGTGCAACTGTGCCTGCCGAGTATACGCTCGTGTTTCGAGGACGTCAGATGTCCAGGTAAAGGTTTCGGGTGTCTGTTGCCATGCCGCTCGATTTTACGCTGAAGAAGAGTCGCCGGCGGCGGTGTACAGTGCTGTAGTAAGTTGACACTAATAAAAAATACATCAAGTGACGTACCAGCTTCCTGTGGGGTAAGCGCGAAAGTGGAACGTTAGAGGGTCTCTTTTTCTTTTTTACACAAGGCCTAGTGCTTCCAACCGATAATCAAGGCAAGGAAGGCCTACGAGATATTATTTGGTGTTTTAACTGTATTGTAGTGACTATGATGAATAGGCACATTTGACGTCAATGGGGCCGAAACCCACCGCCTTTTCCTTCGTCGTCCACTTTGCTGGGTATTTTGAGTGTGTGATGCAGCGCTATATACCTGTAGTCTGGGTGGAGAGGTTTTAATGCTCTTTCAGACAGAGAGCGTCAAGTAGCACCTGATATAGTCACGAGGCGGCAGCTGACCATTAAACCCTCATTTGCTTCTTAAAGACATCAAGTTTGCGGCCGGATCTCTGAAAGATGTAAAGAAGGTTAATTGTCCCAGGAGCTCGTTTGTTTCTTTGTTAGCATTTACTGTCGGCATATTTAGTGTAGGGCATACCCAACAACACCGCGCCCTGGTGTTTTAACTGTAATGCCAATGTACCACCCACCACGGTGGTCTAGTGGCTATAAGGCACTCTGCTGCTGATCTGCAGGTTGCGGAATCGAATCCCAGCCGTGGCGACCACATTTGCAATGGAGGTGAAAATGATTGAGACCCATGTGCTTCGATCTAGGTGCAAGTTAAAGAACCCCAGGTGGTCGAAATTTCTGGAGCCCTCCACTACGGCGTCTCTCATAACCATATGGTGCTGTTTGAACGTGAAACCCCAATAGTTATTATGACTGATAATTGTCTGTTTGCACAAGGCACAATCGAAGAAGAGTAGGTATTATTGCCAACGTCGGCAGAATCTCTCTGGCATGTAGCCACATCTAATACTCACGTGTACCTCTTTTCTAGTTTATTGTACTTACTTTGCAGAAGTTCGGTGTACCTATTTCTGGCTGTAGTTCTGCCTACCCTTGCACTGATTTTTCGCTTGCAATGACACACCACTCCTTTATTTTTTCGTACCATTCACGAATCATCATCGTCAATCGCTGTGCAGAAAATCGATCTGGTTTCGGCCCAATCACGATTAAATGTGAATGCTTGACTATGGTATAAATATGTGTATTTGATTGCTCAGGAAAACACACACCCGCAAAGAAAATAACAATGAATGGGTTTCTTTATTGCAAGTATAATACGTGCTATATACGGCACAATTAAGCAAACAATATATATGGGGAAGGTTAGCGAGAGCGCCAGTATTACTCTAAATTAATAAAATATTGGATCCTCATGTGGTTTGAGGTCGTTCCCGAAGCTCCGCGTTCGCAATTCCATCTCGCATTAGTAACGCGCTCATTGTTTCTCACTCTCTTATTTACGCATCACCGTTAAGGCCACGTGTTTTTGCTTGATTTGCAAAGTCAAAGCACGTCGGAACTGCCCACGCTAACAGCATCGCATGACGAAGTAGTTGATAGATTCGTGTTTCTGCATTTCTCACGGGCTTCTTTGAATTCAATTCTTATTTGGCATTAGAGGTGCCGTATATCGGAGATCCGAAGTGCATGCTGCGGTGAATTGTCTGAGATAAGGAGCTTTTCGACGGCATACACTGAAGAGCGCGATAACATTTTCACATTTTTCATATAGTCTAGCCAAGCCCTTCGAAAAAAAAAACTAGTGGGCAGCCTTTAATATTTTGGTCAATATTTGTTATGCTTCAACATACAGAACTCGGCATTTGAACAAGGTCACATAAACGAAATGTTTATTGCTTCGCGTTTCTGCATTCCTTGCAGAAGCAGCAGATACTTGAATGCAGTGATTGGAGTCACGTTGTGATGCGTGTTGCAAGGCATTCAGATGCTCGGCATTAAAACGTCACTCCTGCAAATATCACTCCGATAAATGTAAACTTTCCGGGTCGCATTACTTTGTACGCTACTTCAGCATTGCGTCGGTCAAGTAACCTTCAGTTACAGCATAGTAGCGCCATTGTATTCACTAGCGAACTCCGGGCCTGTTACCTACGAAAATGTGAAAAACGCACGCCTTTCACAAAAGACAGTGCTGATGGAGCGTGCAGAGAACACCCAACGGTGGTTCAGGTCTACTCCTTGACGTGGCCCCACTTGACCATGGGTCCCATAAGGGGCCACTTGCTGTACTTGTCCGAGGTGAAGTACTCCTTCAGGTTCGGAAGCTCCTCGAAGCGCCGCATGTACGCCACCACGACGGGAATCCCTGGAAGGCCTCGGGCTTGAACTCGTAGTTCCAGTCGAGCGCCTCGTAGAGCAGGAAGTCGACGTAGGTGAGTCGCTCGCCCAGCACCCACAGCTTGCCCTGCAGGTGCTCCTCCCAGAGCCGCAGCTGTCCCAGCATGGTCTCTTCGTACTTGGCCCTCTGCTCCTCGAAGTTTGGCGAGTAGCAGACCATGACGAGCCACCAGGCGAGGTCCCTGGCCTGCTGCTCCATCACGTCCAGCTGGGTGGTCTCTTGCTCGTCCCTGCAATAGACGTTCTTGCCGTCAGGTGCAGTTTAGGTGCCGTGGCGGAAAACGTCCGCACGTGTGTGTCTGTGTGTGTATGTGCTATTGTCATGTAATCCGTGGTGTCATATATTGCGACATTGCTTAACCGAAGCGCGCAAACCTTCATTATAATGGTACTGAATATTTTTTTCAGTGGGAGTGTACTTATACCCTTTCCTCCAGACACTTGTGGGCTGTGGAACATACCCGTATACCGCGGTAGGCGGGTACGCACCACAGGTGTTTGGCGATTTATATCTACCCCGGAACGGTAAGGACCGACATTAGTAGCTTAAATGTGAAGACATTAAGAGAAACCGACATCGGCAGCGTAAACCCGACGAATTCAAAGATAGAAAAGTCAGGACCTCATCAGGAATTGAACCCAAGCGCTCCGCGTTGCAACAAGACATTCTACCACAGAGCCATGCTGGGTCTTGAACTGCTTAACAAAAAGACACTATGCAGGCGTAAGGTTGGTGGATTTTCATTTGCACTTGCAGTGCTGACTCCACGTGTAAATGTATAACACAGACGTCGCGCACAGTTCGCGTCAATTGTGATTTGAATGCTGACTCCACTTCATAGCAGTCTAATAAACATTTTCATTCCTATTATTCAGCGAGCTACATTCAAGCATTGCTCGACCGCACGGTAGCGCACTAAGAAACTTATGTATGATGTTCATGTCATCCCACCGTAAAGCGCACTTCGTTTCGATAATATGACATCAGTGCTCTATCGCGTGGGCTGATGTTATGTCACAGCTAAAGTTAGGTAACTTTACCATTAAACGCAGTGTAGTAGTGGTCGTTCCTGAAAAGCCCACGATGTGCTCACAACTACTGCACGTAATGTTGATGCACCCCTTAACACTTGCCTTAAAGAAAAAAAAAATAAATGAATAATCGTATACGCTTCAGCAACACACTTCGCGTAACCATTATCACGGACTAATACAAGAACACTTCAGCCTACCACTGCTGGTGCTGGTAGTGCACACATTAATGGCGGCATCGCGACGCAACTGAGAACAGTAATTTCCCACATTTGCAAGTTTTACTGATACGTGAATTCGAATGAAATTTCCACACATCTTCACTGAGTACCACATCCATCCGCCTCGTAACGTTGTGCTCATTTTAAAATTGCCGCATAGCGAACTTCTTGGTGCATGTTTCGCATATCACCGATTCCCAGGGTATGTGGGACGGGATAAACTTTTATTTAGGCACTGGTAAAATAACGTGTATTCACGGTGGAGGGAAATCTAACCTGTTATAGTTGCTTCGTTCGTTTTTGTTGTCATTTTTTCATACGTTTACTGCGTATTTGTTGCCAACTTGTTCTGAGAAAGCAAGCTTGGTGTGACCTTTATACGGCTAGGTCAACCTAATGCCCATCTCCAGGCCCGCGATCTGATGCTTAGTAATCCACGTCACTTTGTCCTCTGTGGAAGAAGTGGTGTGCGGCGCCACTTCATCCATCCCTGCTCAATCACTTCGTCCATGTTTACGTGGCAGTGTAACTCACCTGAACATAATAAAGCAAGAATAGATGACGACGCCTATTGCTAAATAAGACTGATATATGCGGTACGAGCATTTATTTGCGGCCACGTGCACATACCTGGCGCCGAGGTCGTGCTTGCGGGCCAGGTAGCGCATGATGGCCAAGCTCTGGCTTATCTTGACCTCGTCGTCGACGTAGTACGGCAGGTTGGGAAACATGACCCCCAGCGAGAACTTCTCCTTGAGCCAATCCCCGCGGTCGTAGTCGGGCGCCGAGCCGAACTTGTACCGCTTGTCCTCGAAGTCGATCCCTTTGTAGATCAACAGGTTGCGGATCGGCTGGCCCAGTCCGCGCAGGTCCCAGTATCCCAGCGTGGGCGCCATCTTGAATTCTGTAATAGTGGCAAATAAGTAAACTGTAGTGAGCCCTTTGGACTTGGAAAATGGGTTTCGCCTTCGAGTGCCTTCTAGTTGGTCATCTCCGAAAAGGACACCGCCGTCGTGCTTGGAGTCCGTGCCTGGCTATGACTGTCGTCATTACGCGTTAACACTGAGTACCGGATAATAAATACCTTAACAAAATAAACAAATAACCAATAAGTAAATAAATAAATAAATAGAAGTTATTTGAAACTGGAGGTGACCGCCTAGCCGATAACAAAGATGGTGGTTCGGTCCCTGTCCGCGGTAAATTGTCTTTCATTCACTTAACTTTCTTGGCATATCTATCACAATTACGAGATTGCACTTGAAATTGTACAATAACGTCCCCCTTGCCTTCCTTCGCTTCATTATCTGCTGGAATTCATTGAGGTCCTGTCTGGAAGTGCCACTCGCTCCTCGGCGTTCGTGCGCTCTGGTGTGCCAATTTTTGACGTGGTGACAAAAAACAGCTGTGCTCTAATGATATAAACTACAAACAATTACTATGACTCACACTTCACCAAAATCAACCTAGTATAGTTCACTGAAGAAAAGTTGGACATATATGTGCCACTTACTCGGGAGAGTGTTATCAAAAAGTGGGAAAACACTGTCTTATTGTCTCATGAAGTCATCTCGCGATTGCATGAACGGATATTTTGGAATGATGTGGCGCAGAGAGCATCACTTCTCAAGATGTCAAGAGGAAAGTTGGGCGGATCTCATTTCAGCAGGAGAATAACACCTGGAGTTGCGCCTTTTGCGAGCCTTCATATCGCTGTGGTCTGTTCTTGTGAAGCTTACTTCACCTCGTGCACCAACGCCCCCCCCCCCCTTTTTTTGTTTATTGGTTTTTTGCTTTAGCTGTCCGAATTGTCGAGTTCAGATGTTATTGATCATGTGCATAGTTTTCAAGCGGTATATGATAACAAGAAAAAAATTACCATGCATCAATGATCTTCTGTTGCACTGAGGGATGAGCAGGACGATTTCGTTGGGGATGGTTCTCATGCAGTTAACGGTCGAGTTAGTACGCATATTTACAAGAGCACGTGATGACTGAAAGCTAAAGCTACCTATCTGAAAAACCAGAAAACAGGAAATTATTCAGCGGTTTTGATTGGTAGGACATATCTACCTCAAGATAGGAAAATTCAAAAGCTATATATAAGAACAATTCACCGAAATTCAACGCCATTACAAACTACAACCACCCCTTGGAAGCATGGCGAAATAATTCTTTTAAGATTATGAATATTTAAGATATTAGTGACTTGAGCTTGCGCTATTTGCGATGGGTCATGTGGGAGAAAATTTTTTTTCTGCTAATGGAAAAGTGGGGCGTATGTGCCCCGCTGTCGCACAGACGGTTAACTTAATTGTTTGCCGCACTGCCGAAACGGATCTCAGAATTTACGAAAGAAGGACACTGCCGGGTTAGACTGCACCTGCGCAAGCGCCAGACCGGCCGTGGGAAGGAACGCGTGGTTTGTATTTGCTCCACCAGGGGCACAACGATCCTACCTGCTCTAGGGTGCCTTGATGCCCGCGCGCTCCGCTGAGGGTGAGGACAGCCGCGTCGTCTGCTACGACGGCCGCCATTACGGCTCCTGCCGTAGTGGGGCAGCATGCGAAGCGCATTACCGCTTGCGGTGCTCGCGTATGGTAGGAAAGAAGTACTCGTTGGCGAGCTTTTTTTTTTGTGCAACTTGGACACCTCTTAGTGCTGTTGTTGCCTAATTGTTAAATGGAACAACGCACGTCATACAAACTGGTGGCCTGTGCTTGTACAATGCGCCAGGGGCTGACATAGACTGAATGAAATGAGCCACGAACTCCCACACCAGAAAGATTCGCGTTAAACCGTTGTCGTCGTTAAGACGGAGGGGCGCATGAACTTTTATCACTACGCTTGCTGAAAGGAATGCAATATTTGGGTCTTTGTGAATCAGCCGAATAGCAAAGGCAGGAATCGCTGTACTTTATATACTTGCGTGTGTGTATATATATAACACACACACGCACACGCACACACACACACACATTATCTGACATTCGGTACCACCTCCCCTGCCTCACCATTTCATGCACTGTGCAGGCAGCATACCCGAGAGTAACATGCTTTACCAGTGTACCTTTATGAAACGACACCCACGATTTCAGTGAACAGGCCATTTATTTGTGCGCCTTAATGCTGCGTTGTCCCACTAGTGAAAATCAAAGTCAGATACAAGACAAACCAAATGCAGTACGAAATGAAATGTTTAAAAATAAAAAATGCAAGAGTCAAAAGCGTGCCCACGTGAGCCGAAACCTTTTAAGCATACAGCTTATCTTGGCGTGTCCATTTCTCATGAGAGGTTGACGCCGGCACATGTTTTGCTTGCATGTCCATTGCAACTCCCGACTGGAACCTGCCGAAGGTGAATGCGCAGCCTTATTCTTGCGTACCTCTCTGTGAGCAGTCGGTATATACTGTCCTCGTGCTCCGCGCATACACACAAGCTGCGGCGGTGCACCTTGTTTAGGTATGCGGTGAGTGAACGAAGCGGCGACTTCATCGTGACTACTTTGTCCGTGCACCAAGAGTTTATGGCAGCAAAATGCTCCTCATAGTCTATCAAGGCTTTCATAACTCCCTTGCTGGGGTAGATGAGGTTGCCTCCATCTGAAACGTACTCTTTCAGTGCTGTCTCACCAGCCGCTGCATTAACTTCTCTTGAATCTGCATCACTAGTGTTCGCTGACAGTTCAACAACGGCGTCGTCAACTTCCATGGTGTCGTGCCCATAACACGATGTTCCTTGCCGTGTAGATTCAGGAACGGCGTGGTTTTGTGGGGTCTCTAGGGTAGTTTTAACTGCAGCTGGATATTGACGCAGACCAGGACGAGATTTGTTGGTCTCGTTGCTGGAGGGTGCAGGTACAGTTCTTTCTTTTGGTGGCTTTCGTTCCTTAGGCAGTGCTGCAAGCAGAAATGTATGTATTCATGAACATATTCAAGCAATGCCAGTTCATGTCTAGCTTGTTAATTTTACAAATGTAACACATGCAGCAGATACCGGCTTAGTTATTGACGTGAGGAAGACACTTCTCCTTCCCCCGCCCTTTCTACAAGGGATAGGGGAAGGTCTTAAAATACCATAATTAAATTGTGCTCAAAATTTCTCCCCACAATAAATGGCTCTAATTCAAATTGGAGCTTCATATGCCAGAGCTACACGTGTGCGCCGTTGTGGAGGGCTCAACTGACATTCGCTCCCTATGCAGTTTATTGATTATTTGATTGTAGGGCTTAACACGCAATACTTTTTTGCAGACTAGTTGGTTCATACTTGAAAATTTGAATTGCTGCACAAACTTGAAGAAAAAAAACAAGAGAGACAGGAAAGAGTGCAGTTTTTTTTTTCAAGCTTAACACGCCAACGCAACACAGGTAATGAGGCGCACTGTAGTGGGGGCTCGTGCATCGTGGATCTCGTATACATAATGGTTTCCGTTTTCCCCCTTTGTAAATAACATAGCCACTGCACCTGACATCCTAGCAGTACACGACCGTGTGCTAAGTAGCGGAAAACTGTTGTGCAGTGGGTCATGCCTGTAAACACTGAAATCCAGACGTATATACAGTCATGACCAAAAAATGCAAACAAGAAATATAAACCACAACACTCAAGTATCGCAATTTTTTTTTACATGCAAGTCAAAGTGATGCAACGTAATCACAAAAACAAAGTTGGGAAATGTAGCTTTCCAAACGCACTAATAGCGTGCCATTATTTGACCGTCTAATATTAGCAGTATTTTTCGATTTTGCGTGGTCTGGTTCACATTTTGTGTTCGCATTTCCTAGCTTTGTCCGTGACTGCATTTCCAGAATTTATGCACTAATGTGGACGCAGCATATGAGGACCTATTTGGTGTTAGCTTCGTAGAAATCCCAGGTACATAGAGTACTTGCAACTGGTGCTGCTTTATGTAATGCAAGAAAAAAGTTCAATCTTACGTTTGAATGTGAACAAAGTTGGGACGGCATTTGGTTTCAACTTCTTCCAGCCATCCGCACGATGTTGCTCATAGTTGTTCTCTTCAAAGTGAGCCTGCAAATAAAACCAGAATTAAAATTAACACACTGGCAGAAGAAAAACGAATGTCTGTCACTGTCAATAACAAGATTTCATGTATGCATTCAGTATGATTCGCAGCAGGAACTAGCAGCAACTTTGAAGCACAAAAAGAAGGAAACTAATTGAGTTCACGCGCGCTTTCACGTAAGCCACTTCAGTGAGCGCGATCATAGACCCAGCCTGCTGTTATAATAACCCTTTCAATTTTCGCACTGAAGATCTGTAAGGATTCCTGAATTCATGTGAATAAAATATTAGTCTATTGGGCCGACAAAGGACCAGGTCTGATTTTATAGCGAGCGTTACAGATTTCGTTCTATCGAAAGCTTTGTACCCAAGCCTCCAAGTTTCCAATGCAATCGAATTTATTTGTCAGGTAAAAATGACAACACTCCGTAACAGCGCTTGTTTTGTTCGTCACTGAAGTGTTCCTGATTCCCAAGTATACATACGACGATACACACAAGACGGGCAGAAGTCCGGCCTCGTAATATTACGAGTTTTTCGCAGGAACAGCATGTTTATGTTCAAACGGCTTGATTTCACAAGAGGCGTTCAAATTTCGACCGATCAGTGCCAACGCGTGCACGAATAACATGGGCAGGCCTCGTAAGCGTTGTGAAATCCCCCTACCACGCACCCGAGCCTATGTTAATTCCCTGCGAGGCCATATGCGCGCATTTCACGTCCAATTTCCTCTTATGTGAATTACGTGAACTCTACGTGCCGTACTCTTGAAGTTCGGCAGCAGTCAGGCGCCGTCAGATTTCCGTACTCGCTCGCCGGCACGCGGCCTGAACTCACTCCCCGTTTTCTGCCCTTGCATATAATTTTCTCCCTCC